AGCTATAGGCACTGCCTGGTAATTTTCTTTATACTTAGTTTTTCTCTTCACACTTCTGCATTAGAATCACAGTCCTTGGAACAAAGTGACTTTAACATGAAAAACCACCTTGTAAAAGCATACGTGTGTGTACAAACTACCTCTGCATACTACAGAAATGCAGATTAGGAGAAAAGGAATTTCCACAGCCTTTGGTAGGCAAGTGATACATGACTTCCAGCCTAATTCAAGGATATGTGCTTGGCTCTCACAGCCAGTATCTACCTTTCCCTGTAACAAGGAGACCTGTACCTCTCACAGACAGGTGCTGTGCCAACTTCCTGCTTTATGGGGTGGGTATATGCCTTGGCAGTTATATACCTCACAATGCATCACTTCAGAGGGACTTTGCCACTCTGCATCTTTGATCAGCTCTATCTGGCTTCTTTCTAGGGTCAGACCAGTGGTTCTTAACCTGTGGGTCACAACCCACAGGAACTGTATTAAAGGGCCATGGCATTAGGAAGGTTGAGAACCTTTGGGTCAAACGGTTCCAAAGTAGAACAATGAGACTATTAGTAGTAGAGCTGTTTTAGTAACTGCAGTATAATTAGGGGCAGTTTCCCCACCTTTGCAGTTGCACCAAGTAAGGACAGAACTTTCTCTGGCCAAGATAAGAAAATCAGACCGTACCTTGGAAGGGTCGTCATAGCTTCTCTCTTCTTCAGATCCCGTGTTGCCAGTGACAGTTATTGTCTGGGTCTGGGAGGGTGATGATTTTCCATCTATCACAACTTGACTGTCCTGAGCATCATATTTGGGAGAAAGCCAAGGGTCCTCTACAACAGAATCTGAAGGGAATAAACCTCTGTCTGAGGCATCTTCTGTTTCCTTAGAATTAATGACATCAGGCCCACTCAGCTCTGCTCCTCCTATCGCCAGATTCCTTGCCTTCTGTGTCCTTTTCCTTTTGGCTCCTGTTTTTTTTCCTAATTTTTGTTTAGTGTTTGAGTCCTTTGACTTTCCTGGGGGAGAATAATTGGGGACAGAGATATAGCTGAGTTAAGTAAATATGATCACTATACATCCTTTTCAGTAACTTTTAAACTTTATCATCCAATGGAATCCCTGGGGTGTAGATTCATGAGTCTCACTCCTAGAATCTGGTTCAGAAGGAATCTTTTTTTTTTGGCCAGGGCTAGGTTTGAACCCACCACCTCTGGCATATGGGACTGGCACCCTACTCCTTTGAGCTATAGGTGCCACCCACCTTCCTCCCAGAAGGAATCTTTATTGTAACAAATAGCCCAAGTGTTTTGAGGAGAGTGGTGTGTAGACTACCCTTTGAGTAACTGCCTTATCTTATTTGGATCAACTGAGATTTAGCAGTCTTACTATTAAGCAAGTTCCATTTCACTCTGACCTAGGGTAAGGGCAAGACTCTCCAGAGGGAACTTACAGACACAGCTGGAAAGTCATGCCTTCAGAGTCTGGTTTAGGGTTGCAGCTTTGTAATCAGGCAAAGTTTAGTTCTTCTATACCCTAAGGACTCTTCCTCAATTCACCTTTGGGTGCTACAAGTATTTCCTTTTCCCAGTCTTGCCAATGACACCCCAGTCATGGCCTACAAAAACGTAAACTCAGAAAGAGTTTACAAGGCAAACCTTGAAAAAAGATTTGGCCCAGGGTTGTATCTAATGTTGTTTCCAACAGCATTTGATTTATTTGGAGGGTCTTCTGAATCATGTGGGCAGTAAAGGATGACTGTGAGTTTTATTTTTATTTTTTTACTTTTTATTTATTTTTATTTTTTTGAGATAGAGCCTCAAGCTATCGCCCTGGGTAGAGTGCTGTGGCATCACAGCTCACAGCAACCTCCAACTCCTGGGCTCAAGCGAGTCTCCTGCCTCTGCCTCCCAAGTAGCTGGGCCTACAGGCACCCGCTACAATGCCCTGCTGTTTTTTGGTTGCAGCCATCATTGTTGTTTGGTGGGCCTGGGCTGGATTTGAACCCTCCAGCTCAGGTATATGTATGTAGCTGGCGCCTTAGCTGCTTGAGCCACAGGCGCCAAGCTGACTGTGAGTTTTAGACTAAAGAAAGTCTTCAGAAGCATAGGATTCTGAGTTCTTCGTAAGGTTCAACATAGGGAACTGAGAATCAGAAAATTGGTAGGAGAGAGCATTATTCAGAGCTTGTGGCATCTTTCCCCTTCTCAAACGTTCCCAAATACTTGATACTCTGATTATAATAGAGTTATTAGTTCATAGAGGAAGTGCTAATAGTATGCACTGGGGACAAAGAGGAAGGGACAATCCCTGGGTCCACCACTTTACGACTAGATCTGTTTGATCTTATGCACTAAGTCACCCAGCCTCTCTCAGCCTCAAGTGTTACATGAACATAATAGTACTTCATGGGGATATTGTGAGGATTTCACAAGATCATACATGCAGTGTTCCTAATATAGTGGGTATTCAGTAAATAGGTGCAGTTATTATTATCATTTCTACTCTTGGTGATCACAGGTCTCTGGGCTTCCCAGTTTCCTCTATCCCTGTCTACTAAGATAATGACATGAAGTAAGGCTACAATACCATCTCAGCCATGGCAGTCAAGGAGACTCAAAACAGAGAGTTGTCTTGTACGATCCATGCTGACTCTACATACCCCTTCCCAATCCCGATAAGGAGTCCTCTGGGTTGTTCCTTGCAGGTACATTCTCTTACCCACAGCAGCCTCTGCTTCTCTGAAGACCCGTCCTTCTTGCTCCCTTTTGGGTGCTTTGATCTTGTCTGTCTTGGTTCTTTTCCTTCCCTTGGCTTTGTTGTTCAACTCCCTTTCCTAAATGTGACAAAGTAAGGAAAGGGACCACGATATGTGTAGGAAATGGGAAAAAAACACAAAGGAAGGTTATGTTGAACAAGGTGACAGACTGGCTGAGAGTGGAATTTGTATAGGTTCCAATTAAAGCAGAAGAGTGTGTCTTAGTGAATGTGGAACAGCAGAGATATTCAAAGGTGTAGTCTTTGACTTAAAAAGGCTAAGAGTGGTCAGCGCCTGTGGCTCAAGTGGCTAAGGCGCCAGCCACATACACCTAAGGTGGCAGGTTCGAGTCCAGCCCAGCCCACCAAACAACAATGACAGCTGCAACCAAAAAATAGCCAGGTGTTCTGGTAGGTGCCTGTGGTTCCAGCTACTTGGGAGGCTGAGGCAGGAGACTCGCTTGAGCCCAGGAGTTGGAGGTTGCTGTGAGTTGTAATGCCACAGCACTCTAC